CCCCCCCCCCCCCGGACTGACCCGCCGATTCCCGTAGATGGCATCACCCACCTCTGTATAGTGCGCTGTCACCCCCAGCACAAAGGGGCATCCCTGCCTTCCACCAGTATGTGGAATATAAAGTGTCTGTATTAATGGTCCGTGGGCAGGGACAGTACAGATCCTTCATGATACACTGGGTCAATCTTCTGGGAAACATCAAGAATGGGGCACACTGCTACTACGTGTATTGTCCAACGGTGACAACGCAATCATCTCTACCCCCTCGTCCTCAAAGGCTTTGACTCCTCAGAATCAGCAGCACTTTTCCCACCCAAGTACCTCAGAGCGTATGTAATGTTCCAGGCATAAGGCGCCTAACAGTGTGCCACAATGCACAAAAAGGCATGGGCTGCAGCATATCACATGTAAATGGGCCCCAAGGCATTACTACAAGGCACATTAATACATACTATATGGATGGTTGTGCCATTTATTTTGCGTGTGTTGTGGTGTGTTTCAGTGTAGAAAATGCTGCATGTACTTTTTTGTCCTTTTTGGTGCCCATTGAATTGAATCTGCTGCTCGAACCCAACGCACGTTAACTTGTAACAACACACGTCTGTCAACGCACCAGAAAGGACAGGTCCAAATGGGTCATAAGGGCTTATTAACACAACGATGCATGTGCGTTAATGAATTTTCATGTGTTGAGTCCCATTCCATTAGGCCCCATGTTCCCTATTCCACACCGCCTCATTCCGTGCACTGTACATTCCCTTTTCTGAGGTTGGCCCCTCTAGGAAAGGGCCTGTTGGTTGTGTATGCCCATCAGTCTTTAAGTTTCCAGCCCTCCTCTCAATGTTTGTGGGCAACCAGGAAGCCCCTGAACTGACCTACTTGTATGTTCTTGTGGCGGCTGTGGACATGTGGTGATGCCAGCCCCACGTCATTATGCTCTACCCCCCATGTGTTCCTGTGCTGGATTTAAATAAAAGGGGTGAGAGAAGGTAGGGAGAAATGGGCCATAGGGACTGCTGCTGGCTGAGCTTTGGAGTGACATCACACTGCTACCATGCTTTACATGAACAGAGTTGTTTTGGGATGTTGGAAGTTATTAGGGAAATAATGGCGGATTAAGGGGCTACCTGCTTAAGGGGCTTTGTCCAGAGGTTTATCTCCATCTTTGGTACAGCCACCAATGCATTTCTTGTAGGTACACGGACTGCAGAATGTGTTCAGTGTAAATAATAGGCAGGCTCAGCCTTTATCCAACCATTCCTCTCTAAGCCAGTCTATTGGGTGCGATTTGGCCATGCCCAGTTGGCCGTGGCGCTATGCACTTACCTCCTTTCCATCAGCCCTTTGGGAGAACTTAACACCGTTTCATAGGCTTCCTGATTATGTCATCAATGTGATTTGCCGTCAGTGACCACATGATCGAGAGCCCATCCTGCCAGTTCCCAAACATCACTATGTGACCAGGAGCAGTCTGTGCTGGTGGGTACGTGATTGAACACACTCCCAAACATGAAGCATATACACTGAGTGGCCAGATTATTATGACCCCCCCATCAGTACTTCGTTGGGCCGCCCCGTGACTCCACGAGATGTTGAATGGTGATGCGAGGAATCTGACACGGCACTGTTGCCTTTCTCAGCATGGAATAAGGGCCACCTTCTTGATGCCACATATTTGCGTTCAGCCAACGGGAAGGGGTTAATATTCCCCTAGACATTCACAGTCCTAGCAAAGCTCTTGGTGGCAGCTAGTCGTTGTTGGTTGGAATGCGTATGAATAAATGTCGCCTCCTTGGACAGAAGCTTATCTGTACAGATTCCTATCCGATAATATAAACGTTCAATTCTACAGGCAAAGCATCGCTGGTGAGCAGGAACTTCAGACACATTTCTTTCTTATAGTCTTTTAATATCCTGACATTGCATCCCATTGGGCTATATACAGTCCTTCTTGTATCATACACATTTATAATGACCGGCAGAGACAAAAACAAAGTCGATGGATAACAAAATAAATGACCATTGATTATTAATTGCAGTCACTTTCCAAATGCTGGAACCACATCAAGAACCAAGTAATATTTAAGGAGTGAACAATTGTATTACAAGAGAAATGAGGTTCTGTCTGATGAGCATGATGGGAAGCGTAGGATGGGTAATATCCTGAAGACTTCAACGTCCATCATCTCCTCCTCAGGTCTGTATTGTCTTCCTCTGGGATGCAGTTGTGTCAGGCGATTGAGGACCAGCTGACTGGTAATAAAAGTACTTTGTAACAGGATCCTATGTTATAAAATATTACCTCAGTGCTCCTGATAGAAGTGCCTTCATATACTAGAAGTGCCTTCATATACATATTCTCCACTTCAAGTAGCCAGTGAAACCTTGGGGGGACACCTGACCACTAAACACAAGCCTTGGCTTAAAAGTCCAAGATGGAGCTGAGACCCCTTTAGAGCATCCCACAACCCAAGGTAGAGACCTGCTCGGACGCCCGGCAGCCAAGGATGCCCAAATTGGATCATGGGATGCAAGGTGGAGTTCAGACTGGGCTATGTTGAGGACTGGAACTTGCATTTGCCTAGAAAACATTCGGCTACCTACTAATTTGACCTGGTCATCTGCTCTTTGGGATATAAGATATATACTGTATACACCATAAGAAAATACAGGAAAACATTTGTACTGTACATTGTATCAGTTGCCCCTCCCTAGCTACTAAGAAAGTGATTGGGCAACTGCCACCTTTTACTCTGTTAGCTATATCTGGGGCACATAGGAGAGGTCCTCAGCCACTCTGTGCAGTCTGCATGTCACACAGAGGAGAGGTCCTCAGCCACTCCGCGCAGTCTGCATGTCACACAGAGGAGAGGTCCTCAGCCACTCCGCGCAGTCTGCATGTCACACAGAGGAGAGGTCCTCAGCCACTCCGCGCAGTCTGCATGTCACACAGAGGAGAGGTCCTCAGCCACTCCGCGCAGTCTGCATGTCACACAGAGGAGAGGTCCTCAGCCACTCCGCGCAGTCTGCATGTCACACAGAGGAGAGGTCCTCAGCCACTCCGCGCAGTCTGCATGTCACACAGAGGAGAGGTCCTCAGCCACTCCGCGCAGTCTGCATGTCACACAGAGGAGAGGTCCTCAGCCACTCCGCGCAGTCTGCATGTCACACAGAGGAGAGGTCCTCAGCCACTCCGCGCAGTCTGCATGTCACACAGAGGAGAGGTCCTCAGCCACTCCGCGCAGTCTGCATGTCACACAGAGGAGAGGTCCTCAGCCACTCCGCGCAGTCTGCATGTCACACAGAGGAGAGGTCCTCAGCCACTCCGCGCAGTCTGCATGTCACACAGAGGAGAGGTCCTCAGCCACTCCGCGCAGTCTGCATGTCACACAGAGGAGAGGTCCTCAGCCACTCCGCGCAGTCTGCATGTCACACAGAGGAGAGGTCCTCAGCCACTCCGCGCAGTCTGCATGTCACACAGAGGAGAGGTCCTCAGCCACTCCGCGCAGTCTGCATGTCACACAGAGGAGAGGTCCTCAGCCACTCCGCGCAGTCTGCATGTCACACAGAGGAGAGGTCCTCAGCCACTCCGCGCAGTCTGCATGTCACACAGAGGAGAGGTCCTCAGCCACTCCGCGCAGTCTGCATGTCACACAGAGGAGAGGTCCTCAGCCACTCCGCGCAGTCTGCATGTCACACAGAGGAGAGGTCCTCAGCCACTCCGCGCAGTCTGCATGTCACACAGAGGAGAGGACCTTAGCCACTCTGTGCAGTCTGCATGTCACACAGAGGAGAGGTCCTCAGGCACTCTGTGCAGTCTGCATCTCAGAAAGAGAGATCCTAAGCTTCCTTGTGCAGTCTGCATCTCACAGAGGAGAGGTCCTCATATGCCCTGTGCATTCTGCATGTCACACAGAGGAGAGGTCCTCAGATGCCCTATGCAGTCTACATCCCACACAGAGGAGAGGTCCTTAGCTGCCCTGTGCATTCTGCATCTCAGACAGAGAGATACTAAGCTTCCCTGTGCAGTCTACATCCCACACAGATGAGGTCCTCAGATGCCCTATGCAAACTGCATTTCGCAAAGAGAAGCACTTGGCTGCCTTGTTTTGCCTGGATCTCATACAGAGGAAAGGTCTTCAACAACTCCGTGCAGTCTGTATCTCACACAGAGAAGAGGACCTCAGCATCTCACACAGAGAAGAGGACCTCAGCATCTCACACAGAGAAGAGGACCTCAGCATCTCACACAGAGAAGAGGACCTCAGCATCTCACACAGAGAAGAGGACCTCAGCCAGTCTGTGCAGTCTACATCTCACACAGAGGAAAGGTCATCACCTGCTCTTTGCAGTCTGGTTTACAAACTGAGGAGAGGCTCACGGCCTCCCCATGCAGTCTACATCTCACACTAGTCATACCACAGGCAGCTGAGGGGTAACTTCCAGGTACGTTTGCTCTAAATTTGTTTATCAAAATGCATTTCCCAATGTTGCTACTCCCAGAGATCACACATTACACAAGGACCTCGGCATTCCATTATCCATGAGAAAGGACACACTTAACTGTATATATGTGTCAATTCAGAACACTTACACTCGGTGCCAATCCATAAGGTGTGCTGAACCGTTTGGACACGGCACAGCCACAGAGTAGTAACCACTATTCTCTTTAAAACCCAACGTTGTAGTATTTCCTCTAGTGTACTATTCATAAATGATTACATTCAAATGTAATACTAAGACGCATAAACCTCAAGGATTGCGCTGCATCTGATAACCGTCACAGTGGCGGAGCACTGAAGGTCACGTCCTCTTCCCCTCCCCCTCTCTCCACACCCCGCAGGATGTCCTCCACCACATGAACACGACTATGCATCCGCAGCTGGGACTTATATATGAAGGTCCGGTGGCAGCGCGTGCATTGGTGGGGGCGGTCTCCAGCCATGTGGGTGCGCTGGTGCCGGTTGAGGTCCGAGTTCTGGCTAAAGCTCTTCGGACACAGGTGACATTTATGAGGCTTCTCGCCGCTGTGTGTCCTCCGGTGGTGAATGAGGTTGGAGCTGTGCGTAAAGGTTTTGCCACACTCGGCACACTGGAAGGGTCGTTCCCCGGTGTGGGTACGCTGGTGATCCTTCAGCTGGGTGCTTCTGCTGAAAGTTTTGGGGCATTTTAGGCACTGGTAGGGGCGTTCCCCTGAATGAGTGTACAGATGCTCCCTCAGCTGCGTACTACGTAGGAAGGTCCTCTCACATTGCGGACATTTGTACTGTTTCACAACGCCAGCGGTCAGACTGTCCTGGAAGTTATTGGCTACACCGGGCAGACCCCAGTCTATGGAGAAGTGATGAGCGCTGTTGTCTGCCACCACCGATGGTTGTGGCTCAGTGGCCATTGCCGGTAAGGATCTCCTTAGCTGAGCCTGTCTCTCCTTCTCCTCATCAAAATATCGCAGCAGGCTCCCCACCAGAACCTCCGGCAGAGGCTGCCCGCCATGTATGACCTTCACCGACTCCTCGGGATGATCGTGTGGGGTGACATCTGTGTGAAGGGAAACACAAGAAGTTAACATGATTAGGGCTGCAGCTAACTATTATTGTCATAATCGATTAGTTAGCCGATTATTAACTTCAACTAATCGATTAATGGATTTAAAAGAAAATCATTTCAAATAAAATACGCGGCGATACCTGACATGTGTAGCGCTACCGTCGTTTTTCTATGTGGGTGCAACCGACTTGAGTTTCTGTTAGCATACGCACGTTTGCAGGGTTGGGCCCCATTCACACACGAATGAGCTTGCACGTACAGCTCCGTGCTGCGTGCGGGGACGTACCAAGCAGCTGCCGGGAAGGACAGGTGCTGCGTGTAATTAGAACGCAGCCCCCGTCCTTCTCTATGGGGTCGATTCGTGTGTGAATGGGGCCTTTCAATTTTTTCAAGCGGGGGGATTAAAGAAGGGAAGGTCCGTTCTGTGTGTTCACAGGGGGAGGAGAGGAGAGAAGCTGTAAATCTTGACTACACACAGAATGGACCTTCCCTTAGGGCGAAAACTTCTGGGTACGTCTGGTGAGCGCATAACAAATAAGGAGCACGGACAGCTGACACCGAGATATATAACCAAAAGGAAACAGTTTAATCAAGTGGAAAAGGAGCAGCCACTTGTAACACTGTGAACTGTCTTAATGGGCGGAAGGACAGAGGAGCAGAGGAGGTACAAGGAGGAGGTACAAGGAGGGGGCAGCGGGGGATTTCAGAGTCACCTGCCGCAGTCTCTTCTCCCCTCTCGAGCCGGCTCCAGCGGGTCTGTGAAAGGGACTCAGACTGCCGCAGCCAGCACCAGCTGCACCGATTTTAATCAATTTAATCGATTAGTTGTTGCAGCTCTAAACATGATGGATCAGAGGAAGCAATATCAGGACTATCTTAGTGTTACACTTTATAGCTAAAAGTTTGTGGACATCTACACTACATGGGCAAAACAATGGGCCCCCTTTCCATAGGATTAAGAGGGATTAGAGGGGTCATACAAAGATTTTGTGGATGCTCTTCCAACCTTGTGGTGATAGTTTGGTGGAGGCTCTTTTCTGTCCCACCATGACTGTCCCCTGTGTACAAAGCCAGCTCCATAAAGACATAGGTTGACCAGTTTGGTGTGGAGGAACCTGAGTGTCCTGCACAGAGCCCTGACCTCAACCCTTCTGAATGCCTTTGGGATAACTTGAAAAATACTAACTTCATGTCAAGTGTTCTCACCCAACATCAAAACCTGACCTCACAAATGCTCTTTTGGCTGAATGGGCGCAAATTCCCCCAGACAAACTCCAAAATCTTGTAGAAAGCTGTCCTGGAAAAGCCTCTGTTATGAAAAGAGTAACCAGAGTGTGGTATTGATCCACATCTGAGCTAGAGTCATGTAAGCCAAGCTCCCAACCACAGTGGCTGGTTGAACCAACTATAGGGGACGGTTCATTCCAGCTTTTTCTACAACAGATTTAAAGGGTATGTAGAGCCCAAGTGTTTTCTTTGTTTTAAATGGACTGAGGAAGGTCAAACCCCTGTCAGGTGTTACCTACTGTGTTCCCAATGGAGATTCACCCCTTCTGTTCCAACATTTTGAGTTGTCACCAAATACGAGGGGAAGCCAACAGGTTCTTACCCTCACCATGATCTAGATGTGATAGGGATCTACAGTTTTGCAGGTTTATAGGTGGATATCCTAGTAATATGCATGACAATGTTTGTTTTTGTAGGTCGTGGTGAATTATAGTTAGAGCCAAGAGAAATGGAGTAGGTGTCATGCCAGACAAAGTTGAATACTGGCATGCATATTACTAAGATTTCCACCTATAAACCTGTAAAATTGTAGATCCCTAGCACATCTAGATCATGGTGAGGGTAAGAACTTATTGGCCTCCCCTCGCAGGTACAATAATTGCATTGACAACTAATAGAGGATTTCCCCTCATTTTGGTGAGATTTTAGTTTAGTTCCTGTTGTGTCTACAGGACAGGAAGTCAACAAAAATCTCAAGGGGATACAGAGGGCAAAAACCAACTATATCCAACACTAAAATTAAGACTTGGCCTTAATAATTCTGACAGTGTCTTATATATCTTGGTGACATCTCAGCGTTGAGTTCCCGGGTCTGCTGTGCCAATTATGAGGGGTTCCCACCATCCCTGTGCTGAGTTCCCGGGTCTGTACACCTGCTGTGCCCATTATGAGGGGCTCCTACCATCCCTGTGCTGAGTTCCCGGGTCTGTACAGCCGCTGTGACCATTATGAGTGGCTCCCACCATCCCTGTGCTGAGTTCAAGGCTCTGTACACCTCCTGTACCCAATATGAGGAGCTCCCACCATCGCTGTGCTGAGTTCCCGGGTCTGTCCACCCGCTGTGCCCATTATGAGGGGCGCCCACCATCACTGTGCTGAGCTCCCGGGTCTGTACACCTGCTGTGCCCATTATGAGGGGCGCCCACCATCACTGTGCTGAGCTCCCGGGTCTGTACACCTGCTGTGCCCATTATGAGGGGCTCCCCCATCCCTGTGCTGAGTTCCCGGGTCTGTACACCTGACTGCAGCAGGCAGACCATCCCACAATGGGACTGATCATGTGACTGCAGCATGCAGACCCTCCTATAATGGGACTGATCATGTGACTGTAGCATGCAGACCCTCCTATAATGGGACTGATCATGTGACTGTAGCAGGCAGACTCTCCCACAATGGGACTGATCATGGGACTGTAGCCGGCCGACCCTCCAAGTCAGTTTCTACAGACCAGTAGGTTATATTTTGCAATGAGGTTTGCTACAATACTTGGCATGTGTAGATCTAGCCAAGACAGGACTCCCATCTCCCCAGCTAAAGCGGAATGACCCTTTAAAGCTGAACTCCAGGAAGCTTCCAATTCTCCCCCAATACTTCCTTTCCCCAGGCACAGCAAATTTGTTTCCCCCCTTACTTATTTTCATTGCAAATTACATTCTAAAGCCCGTGACTTCATCTTTTTCCCTAGTAAAGTGCAGGTATGCCCGGGGGCTGGGAGGAGGAGGGATCACTGATATGCTGGTGTCATGTCCCTCTGCTGACAGTGTTCTTAGGGAATCATTTACATGGCCTGACAATTGATTGAGGCCGACTGGAGTCTCCTGGCCTGTCAATCAAGTTTATTTATTATGGTTAGTGGGACAGACAGGGAGTCTGCTGGTCTGTCAATCAAATTGTGCCGCCATGGTGGGCGAGACAGAACAGGAGTCTCCTGGCCTGTCAATCAAATTATGCCGTCACGGTGGGCGGGACAGAACGGGAGTCTCCTGGCCTGTCAATCAAACTATGCCGTCACGGTGGGCGGGACAGAACGGGAGTCTCCTGGCCTGTCAATCAAATTATGCCGTCATGGAGGGCGGGATAGACTAGGATTTATGAACAGCTTAGGTCCTCCCACTGTAACGACCGACATCATAAATCACATTGCCGATCATATACTACGGCTCCAGGAGGGCTGTTATATGACTGGTAGCTCTGGGAAGGAGAGGGCATGGGGGCCACCAGTCTTCGGGGGCCAGTGAGCCCTGGGAAAGGAGAGGATCAGACAGACTTTTCATTGGCTGCTGCTGCTTACATTTCTCCCAGCAGTTCAGACGCCTCTATGGAGCACCAACAATGTGACAACACTGCAGATCAAAGAAGCGACAATTACGTTTCTTGTAGAAGGAATATTAACAGACTGCAGTTGAGTGGAGAAGACACAATTTTGCTCTTTACACAAACTTTTATTTATGAACGATTTGCAGACTTTATGTACATAGCAAGAGAACAATTTGCTATGAAACAATGTGAATTTTTTTTCTGTGGTGTTGGTCCCGATATCGGACACGACAGCGGCTTCCATGAATCTAGTTTATCACGTAATTTCACTAAGCTCAAATACCATGTACCCTGCGGCCACGTGCAGTAGCCCCATAGACCCTGCGGCCACGTGCAGTAGCCCCATGGACCCTGTGGTCACGTGCAGTAGCCCCATGGACCCTGCGGTCACATGATGTAGCCCCATGGACCCTGCAGTCACATGATGTAGCCCCATGGACCCTGCGGTCACGTGATGTAGCCCAATGGACCCTGCGGTCACTTGATGTAGCCCAATGGACCCTGCGGTCACTTGATGTAGCCCAATGGACCCTGCGGTCACGTGATGTAGCCCAATGGACCCTGCGTTCACGTGATGTAGCCCAATGGAACCTGCGGTCACGTGGTGTAGCCCTATGGACCCTGCGGCAACGTGCCGTAGACCCATGGACCCTGCGGTCATGTGCCGTAGCTCCATGGACCCTGCGCTCACGTGCAGTAGCCCCATGGACCCTGCGGTCACATGTGCCGTAGCTCCATGGACCCTGCCGTCACGTGATGTAGCCCCATGGACCCTGCCGTCACGTGACGTAGCACCATGTACCTCCTCACTGTCCAATAGTGGGGCAGATCTGATTCACACTTTGATATGTTAATGTCACTGTATAAAGGGGTTACCCATTCTCCTATTTTATTCAATAATATGATTGTAGTGTCCCGGTCGCTGTTAATTTCCCTTGGACTGCTTGCTGTCCATTTTCTAATTCCTGTGTCACCTTTCTACTATATTGTATGTTTTTGGAAAACTTGATTAAAAACAACAGTGGGGCAGAGATTAATCTCAGCGTGTGATGGAGACTTATAAGAAAGATGGCATCCCCAGCATCCTTTTAGGCATGCCTGCTTCCTCCTGATGGTCAATGGGTGTTGCAGACTTTGCTGCACCCTCTGCAGATCAGCTGTTTGATTACACTCAGAGAGTAATCAAGAAAATGATCAACAGACTGCACAGCTAAAGTCTGCAACACCCAGTGTAATCTATCAGTGTAGTCAAGAAAGTATTAAGCAGAGAGCACAGCTAAAGCCTGCAACACCCAGTGACCAGCAGGGAGGAACATGGATGTCTGAAAGGGATCCCAGGGATGTGTTCTTTCATATAAGGCTTGAGCTCAGGGCAGATGACGTCCTCC